GTCCTTCAGAGTCTGAGGAGCGAGCTACAAAGGAGGGCGAGCGTGGACCCACAGCTCCCGCTTTCTGCGCATCCACCAGAGCCATTTGTTTGGCCAGGAGGAAGATCTTTCCGTAGAGAACCAGCATGACAACCAGGGGAATGTAGAAAGCGGTGAAGGTTGCATATAATTGGTAGCTCAGATCATCACTGTAGCCACAGTAATAGGGGCTAATCTTCTTCTCCCAGCCAAACACCGGAGGAATGCTGATTGCCGCAGAGAGCAGCCAAGTGATGAGAATCATGAACAGCATACGCTTGGGACTGCGCTTCGATGCATATCTTAGGGGCCGCGTGATTGCCAAGTAGCGATCGATTGATATTGCACAGAGACTGAGTATGGAAGAGGTGCAGAGGAGAACATCGAATATGTTGTAGAGGTCACAGATGCCCTGATTGAAGGGCCAGTAGCCCAGCAGCTGGTAGGCCGTTGCAAATGGCATAACCAGAATACTCACGAGGAAGTCTGTTAGGGCCAGATTCACAATCAGCAGGTTTGTTGGGGAACGCAATTTACGTACCAGAAATACGGCCAGCATGATGAGTAGGTTACCACCAGCTGTGCCGATAGTCAGCAAGACTAGAAGGATGCCTAATGCTACAGCCTGTGGCACCGTATACTCCACAGGACCACACTCAATGATGGGATCTTCAGGGGAAATGGTACCATTTATAAGACGTGCTAGCAGTAGGCTGCAATTTTCGTTGGAACTCCAGACGTTTTGATAGGTTTTACCGTATTCCGGCAGCTGGGAAGCCATTGAGACCCCGGGAAGAGAACAGTTATTTCCTTACTTGAGGGACAGTAGTAATATTATTTATCAGGCAGCGTAGGTACCAGCACAGTTGGATAGATAAACTCCTCAAAATTGGTCTTAACTTAACTGGATATCCAGTAGGTAGGACATGCTGTAATTCACACTTGCAAAGCCTAGGAGGCCCACAGCGATGTGGTAAGCTGTTCGGTAAAATACAGTGTGCAATTGCAAATCCTTAATCCACGCCTTTCAGTCGGATTAGGGCCGTAATCGGTGCATTTGCGTGACTAGAACCTTTCCTTGCTTGGTCTGTCAACCATTGATGGTGTTGTAGTTGAAGCGTGGTGGTGGGAAAATGACCGTCAACCTGCAGCACACGTACCTCCTCGTTGATTGGCTGTGTGCCAGCAGCGATTATTATAAAATTCCCTCTTTGGACGACCAATAGAAATCGACGAACGCGGGCGCGAATCGGCGAATCAAACAGATGGCAGACGTCGACAACCGAGGCGGTGACAACCTGACCTGAGGGCGAGCTTACTTGCTTGCGTGGGTTTGTGAGTGCTGCTACGGCCGCGGTGGCTCCGAGCTAATGTAAACAAGGAAATGGAACAGTGGGGGGCGGGTGGTGGCATCGTTCGAGGTACACACTGTGCACGGCGTGAATCGCTGACCTTTCTGCTTGACCCGTGCTATGCAAATGCGATTAATTTAAACCTCCGAGGGTGGTGACGAGTGAGAATTAGAAATTTTCAAAATTTGTTGAATCAAGAGAACTCCTTTGACGTTGTGATAAAGGGTCGACTAAAGTGGCTAACCTGTCCATGCCATGGTTCCGGAGGCTATCAGAGCCTTTCGGTGTCAATATTTGCATTTATTGGGTCAGTTGGCTATAAAAAGCCTGAAGAAATTTTGAGGACAGCTCTCTTCTTGTCCTCTAGCAATATTTTACTGTCTTGCTGCCTATACCCTTTAGCTAAAAAATATGGTTACCTTAGTTGCAACCACCAACTGCGGTAGTTATATACGAATAAGTACGCGTGCGGCCTTTATTTGTTAGCATAAAGTCTCAAGTAAGCGGTTCATTTGAATGACGTTTCGATTTATTTAAAAGGGCAAGCGAATGTTAAATAATAATGACTTGAGCATTTGAATCCCCCACTGTGTGTGGAAATAAGCCAAAGGAACTAGTTTATAGGTTGATAATTGAAGCTAAAAAAACTATACTTGTTCGTTTTATCATCGCAAGTTAAAAAGGCCCCGCTCAAAAGTATAGTCATGGCATCATGCAGTTCGTGGCTCATCGCTGACAACGCCATGACGTTGTTACTTTTTACTCGCTCCAGTCATGCGTATTTTGGTTATTGACTATATTCGGTTCGTTGTCTGTCGTTAAAAATGTTTTGTTTTTTATTCCTGCCTCGGAAAAGATGACGAAAGAATAAAGTTAGTATAATGAATACTATTACAAACTTGCACTTTTGCGGCTGGGAACTGGAATGGTATACTAGGTGAATTAATTGTTTTTTTTTAATATGAAGACCGCAAACAGTTGATGACAGTTAAAACATAAGTGAATCAATCTGAGAATATGAAAACTCCAGTAAAGCTTTGCATTTGCGCACTTTCCATCGGGTAGTTTACTTAGCCACAATTGAACAGTCCTGACCGGTGCGTCTATTTTACGGACTCCGCCTTCGAAGGAAGTAAATGTTTTGAAGTACTTTAAACAGAATCAGTTGCTGCGATATAGTAGTACATTTTTATAAGCTTCCATGAGATTAATAGCCATTATTTCTGCTAGCAATGCCAACATTCTTTCTTTAGGGAAAAGTATGTTGCAATCATCACTTATGGATTTTATAAATCGGCTACATTCTGTAGCTCCAGCTCCCTAAGCACTGTAAGCATTTTCTGCAAAAATAGCGGTCATTTCAGAACCAGGAATTAACACTGAAGTAAGGAGTTGGGCCTAGTCGGGAAAAATACGAAAAATTAACTTTGTCAGAATATTTTATAAGGTTCTGTTGCTGTATTTTTATGCACTGAGGCATAGGCTTCAGCTCTAACTTCTGCTACCATTTTCCACTGCAAGCATTTTATGCGTTGCATAAAAGTGAAAGAACGTAGGTATATCATTGTTTTTTTAGTTGGATTTTATTTCGGTTGTAATAACAGAAAAGGTAAGGGTGAGTAAAATGAAGGCTGGTGTGTACTAATCCAAAGCAATAAGGTTGAGGCATTATGAGAACGCCCATTTATCACAACAAAATCAAACTCCTAGGAACTCAAGTGCATGGAATAAGTTCAAATTTAGAAACTGCGAACACTCAAAGCACCTCATATTCTTCCATATTCCATATTCTTCCATATTCTTCAGAGAACGCAAGTCCACCCAGTACTACAGATAATCAAGTCTGTCTGCATTGTTGCGTTTGGGCAAACAAAAAAGCAATGTAGTTGCCAGCAGAGGACGGGACCAGGAGTACATCCACCCCAATGCTATAGAATTTTTAATTCCTGCATTAACCAAAAATGTCATTAATAATATGCACACTGCCGTAGTAGCTCCACCGTGACAGCGGCAGCACTGGACATACTTTTATCGTATAGGCTTCCGAGGCAACGTTTCCCCATTGTTTGCCAAGACAAAAAAGCTCTAGAGCAAAAGCGGCATTCACGGGAAATTCGTGAAATATTCAGACTGGAAGAATCCAATGAGGAAGGGGATTTTAAGCTGCCTAATCGCGCTTTCTTCTTACGGCAAAGTCCATTCTTCACCTTGGTGTGCTTGCGATGTTCACCTAATTCGAAGAACGTGAGAACTTGCAATTTTATAGACGAGAATGCCATGAAAACATGCTTTTATAAGCAGACCTAGTACTTACATAAAACT